TAAACTGCTGCATCATTAAAACATTATCAAGAAAACTCTGTGGGATAAAACTTGATCGAAGGAAAAAGAGTACAGCTACTTCCCTTAATTTCAATTCTTGTATCAAATTATTCATTTCTTGTATGTCAATGTCTTCAATATTTATATCTTGTACTGCAATGTTTTCAAAAAATTTCAGATGGACAAAACTTGATGACTGTAGTAATATGATGATTCGAAAAATAGTTCTTGCTGATTTTTCCATGTGTTTCATATATATCAAAGTATTATTTTGACGGCAAATGTCTTTTAGATTATAGATATTTATTACATAAAGAATATGCCTCATTCAAACCTTATTAGAAAAAATCATGTGGGAAAAATCCTAATGAAGGAAAAAAATTATATTTATTCATTTGAATACACCACAAAAGTTGCCTCATTAAAAACCTTGACAGGAAAACCTAATGGGATAAAATTTAGGTCAAGGAAAAAAGAGTACAACGCGTGTTTACTCCTACTCATGATAATATTACTTGAATTATATGCTTCAAGCATATTAAGGCACTGTTTGACACTCATTCTCATTTTTTTCTATATTTTCATTTCAACCACACATTTTCCAAATAAAATAATATTACACACAAATATAAAACTTTTCATTACTTTTCAACCACACATTCTTCCATCAATCACTATTCCCGAATTTTTTCCCCCAAAATGGGTGTCAAACACAAACTAAATCTTTCAACGTAACATTAATAAGCATGCCAGATAAGTTGGCTATAATCAAATTTATTATATGCATGTCAAATTTCATGCATTGTCAGACTAATAAATTAAAGACTTGTGATTGCATCCACCACGTGATAATTTATCTATTTACACAAGTTTTCGCGGAATTCATTATAAAGAGTCGTACATTTCGTATTGCGACTTTACTTTTTCTATTTTCATTTCGCATAAATATATACATTTATGTGTTTAGATTGTAAATTCAGAAACTTCATATTTTTCTAGTAAATTCTTTCACCAGGATCACATCATTTAATTGACCAATTATTTATTCAATCAATATATTTCAACGAATTTATTTCAATTCTTCGCTATTCATAACATAATGCAGTATATCATGCGCAAAAGTGTTATCGACAATTTATTCGTATATTTTTCAATTCTATTTCTTTTTCCATAATGACATAATTGATTGAGATATCTCAATATTCATTATTTCAGGTACATAAACCTCTTATGTGGTTTTATAATATGTTATGTTTAAATACTCATTAAGAGTATATACCTCCTTAATAGGTCATCTTTACTAATTGTTCCATTTTTGTTTGGAAGATTTTGTAATAGAATCGAATATCTTCACGCTTCAGGCATGCCATATATTTATCAAATATAATATCAATGAATTGTCCTTCCAGGAATCAATTCGAATTGCAGCATTTAAAGCTGATGTGTGAGATTGTTATTTTCTTTGGTTAGTAAATACATCTAAATGAATTATCTTTTGAACTTCTTGTTCGAATTGTTTTTTGTGAGAATTTAGATAATGATGCATTTGAATATTATTTTAAACTTCTCAATTATTTCCCCTAATGCTGAGAGAATTGTCAAATCAAATTGACAATAATTTTTACTGAGTTATAAAGTATCACCCATTTGGGATAATGGTTCATACTACGCATTTATTCTCAACATTTTTTTTTACTTTCTATCTTAGTACATTGTGGTGAATTAATTTTACATATACTGGACTATCGAAATAATTCGATGAAAAATTAGGCTCTAACCATAAGCCAAGTTATAATTACGAGAACTATGATGTTGGCATGATGCGTAATGACTTTCCCAAAACTAAAATGAGAGGTATTTTGATTCTCAATTAAATTAATTGGAGGCGTTTAACAAACAATAATGTTAAACCATTTATCGACATCTCAGCTAGCACTTATTAAAAAATTGAGATTTAGAATCACTAGTATTAAAAAGACACACCGTCTT